TTTCACTTATCACATCATTTACATTAGTGTTTTTATGATAGTTTGTTGGTTTATCGCCTCTAATCATAATATTAAAAACTCACTTAAGGCATAATAAACTCTATATTAAATCGATTATAAATAATAAATGGGTCGGCATAAGATCTGAGGGAGGTTCTAGAGCCGCAGTTTGCCGACCACTGCGCTAGGTGATATTGGAAAATGCTCATGTGTATGTAAGATACATATTTTTTGTCCTTTATTCCCTTTAATTCCAACCATAATATTTCCCCCTGAGCCAAATGAACAAACACTATAACAGGAATAGAACCGTGATTTTTTGTTATAATTAGTGTGAATGACTGCTCATCCTGGGTAGCTACTCATTACGTCATAAATACAGGGTAGGGCAAAGACAGGCTTACAGTTGTTCATGTGGGAAATAATACAATCCTATATAACGAAGATGTAATATGCAAATGGTCATTACAACATGAAGCGTAACGACCGACCACGTAACAACCGGATCACGGATCAGCAGGAGGGTGGGGCAGCAAGCTACAAGTGGGCAGCGGAGAGCTACAGGAGGGGGCAGGGCAGCAAGCTATGGGGGGTGGGTAGAGGGAGCTACAGGAGAGTGGGGCAGTGGGCGGAGAGCTAGTGGAGGACGGTGGCAAGCTACTGGCGCACGAATTTGTGCGCAGGGCTACTAGTAATTAGTAAATAATAGTACAAGAATAAACTGTTTTGTGTACTCACAACTGTAAACCTACTTTTGCCCAACCCTATATTCTTAAAAAGCTTTAGAGATTCACAAAGTCTTATAAAATTGGGGCAATGGTTTTAAAAAGGGAGAATTAAGAGAACAAGGAGAGTACATTTTTTAACTATCAATAAAATCTCAAGACAAATAATTATTGTCAAAAAGAGTATTTATTTCACTGCCTAAATTATTTTCACTTGGCAATTCCTTTCACAGTATAACAGACTAGTTTCTAAACTGTGATAGAGAAATCACTGCTTTCTCTTTCCCCTAAACTTTTAGCTTCTTTGCTTTTCCAGAATTCCTATATCTTAAGTTTACTACAGAGAACTTTTTTCCAGTTCCTTAAAATGTCTTAGTTGCTTAGTCTTCCCCTAATGATCTTATGAGAAATTTTTAACAATAACTAAAATCTTCTCAACCAGAAAGAAGTATCTAAATTTAGAAACAAAAAGTAGCAGAAAGAGTACTGTTGTTCCAAGTAAACACAATGCATTATTTATGTAATTAAAAATTTTAAGTCTGATCTGAAACAGCTGCTCGCTGCCCTCGGCTTAGACAACAATGAAGTTCAGCCTGCCACAGCCAGGGCCAGCGTCGCCTGCCAGCAGGGCTGCCTGCCATTGTTCCAAAGAGTGAGTGGAATACAAGCACTTGGGGTTCAAGCAAACACCAGTGAAACATCGGTTCCAATTGTTCTCAACGATGTCGGTAATCTGCAAATAAAATAGAAAGGCTACCAATGAAGGCATATGTATCTTAGGAATTAAAAATTTTTTTCCTTCATATTCCATATATGGTAAAATAGTGCCCTTAGGTCCCAATTCATCTGTTCTCTTTACTTTGTGCCCAAGGCAAGGAAATACAGGAAAACATTAGGTACACTGATTAATAAGACAGCTGCGGCTCACGAGTTATGGTCTAGTAAGATACACATCATCACATCGCGGTGTGGGGCTCATGAGAGGTATGTACACAATGGCAGACACAATAGCTGAACTGGGGATGGGGAGAACACACTGCATAAAGGCGTAGCACCTGAGCTTGCTCCTGAAGGCCAAACAGAGCATTCTAGACACAAAGTATAGCATGTGCGGTACAAAGGTACAGAAGTGTGAGGTATGTTTATTATGGCCGGATGTGGCTGGAGAAGATTGGGGCACAGAGGATAGAGAATGAGGCTGATAAGATGACCAATTAAAAGTGAAGGATGAGGGATAACAGTCACAGATGATTAAGTTTTCTAAACTGAGCAACTATTTGAGTAGTTAAGCCAAAAATGAGTAAGAGGAATATGAGGGGAGGTACCTTTCTGTGTGTGTGTGTGTGTGTGTGTGTGTGTGTTGGGGCGGGGGGGGGGGTTGTTTACAAACTTTTTAGATGTGAAATGTTGAATTTTTGGTTCCCTGGTGATGTGCAAGTTGAGATATCTGGTAAGCAGTCAGAACACAGTTTAAGAATGCAATTGGCAATACACCAGGGTAAAGGGGGACCAACCAAAGAACCTTGAGGAAACAAGATTAAAGGCGGGCACAAAGAAGAGAAAAAATCAGTGAGAGAGACGGAGGAAGCCAAAAGTGGGCCAGGTCATCACCTCCAGAATACTGGTCTCCAAAGGCATAAGGACAAAGATTATTTCCAAAAGCAAAGAGGAGTACATGCCAAATGCACCGTGAGGTCAACAAAGTCCTCACTCTCCTGATCACTGGTCTTTAAAAATGTCAGGCACACTCCCGATTGGGCATTTACTCTTCTCTCTGTTTAGAATGTTCTTCCCCCAGATACCAATGTTTCTCACTCCTCCTCACCTCCTTCAGACCTTTACTTATCTCCTCATTGGAAGTTTCTCCAGCCACCCTGTTTAAAATAAACCCCTCTGCTCTGAAATTGCCCATCTATGTTCTCTGCCTTATTTTTCTTATTTGTTCTTGCCAGTATCAAATACACACACATATTATTTAATACCTGTGTCTTCCTCTAGTATATAAAAGCCACAAGGGCAAGGAATTTTGTCTTTCAGTCATCAGTATCTCTAATACCTTGAAATGTACCTGACAGTAAGAGCCAAAAATGCTCAAATATTTGTTGGATTAATAAATGAAGGAAAGAAGAGTAAAGAGAAGCCCTGGAATGCAGGAGAAATAGTCCTAACAGCTCAGGAATTTGTGAGCACAGCCCCAAACTCATGGTGGTAAACAGTAAGTAGCCAGGAAACAGGAACAGCCCACAAATGGAAGGAACACTTTTGAGAGATTTTTTTAACCAGAAAAAATGAAAGACATAATATGATAGTTTAAGATCCAAGACACAAAAAAATGGCTTTTTGTTTCTGTTTTGTGGATCAGTTCTATACCTGTTGAAGGAAGTGACTACTGTGTAAGAAAGAAGGATGACAGGTTCCAGAAAGAAAAGCAGAGGTAATGAGATAGACCACTATAGCCTCTAACACTTTTTTCAGTATTATATATATTTTAATTAAAT